ATTTACATAATTGGCGTTTTTGCTGTCGCGTCGTATATTCGTCACTGTAATTATTATTATTAGCGGTTGGGCGGATTTCGCGTAACAGAAGGTATACGTTCTGAAAACCCGATCGGTCGATCTCTAGATCGCAATCTACATCATATTATATTGTATTATCGTAGTATAAAGTAACGCTCCTCTGTGTTTTTTATATTTGTCTTTTTTTGTAACTCTCCCACATGACAACGTAATTTATCATTTGCCAGCTAGCACGTCTCGCCGGCATTTTAGATTTAATGCGCTTTAAAGTTGACCCCCTAGCTGTAAATAGATAATGATATATTATACACATGGTATAAATTCAATAACGCACGACTGTATGTAAGATTTGCAAAGCTAATTAATTCTACCCAATCGTATAAGTTTTATCGCTGGAGTTCATATATGTGCCGTTCAAAAGTACGCTATATATTATAATAGGTGGATGTATATGTGCATCACATAATATACAACTCGAAAACTAAACTTACAGAACTTTAGACTCGTTCGATGTAATAATATTATATACATTCCTACATCCAACCCCACCACCCCACCATACAGTCCGCATGATCTGTTATAATTTATAAAGGTATACACATTGTATTATTATTATTATTATTGTTATATTATGTAATCGGCTGTGGGAGACGAACTGGGTCCGCCTCATCACAACGTCACGTCGTCGCTTCGCGAGCATACCCATCAGTGTTCTGTGCCTATATTATGTGAAGTTTAGTGACCCGCCACTTTGGGTTTACTTTGGTTTCTCGTGGCGTGCTCTCGGCAAAACATAATAGTGTTTATAATAATCGTGTCGCGTTAAAACGTCGGTCGTTAATCACCAACAATATTATTCGTAGCCTGTGCTGCTGCCGTAGTCGTTCGTCAAAGGAACCTTATATTATATTATTATTATTGTTATGTGTGCGTTTGCAGACAAAAGGACGCGGGAAGCGAACACAATTAACACGGTAACTAGAGGGACACGAAAATAAAAAAATTGTTACCATAATAATAATACGCTCGCGTTAGCTAAACGAGACAAATTGTCTTCTTCCTTGTGCAGTCGCCGATCGCGGACGTAGGTGGCGACAGACTCTTTCTCTCTACATATATATACACACATATCTACTAGGTATATATATAACCTATATTTGTACCTATATCCGAGAATCGAATGACTTCCTGTTTTTCGAATTTAATAAATTGGTAAATTGCTTGCATAAATTGCTTAGCACAAAAAATAAGGCGATTGCCTTTGTCGTGCGTTCTGTAACAATAACTGAAAGTTTGCAAATATGATTGCGACATGTAGGTAGATAATACACTTCATATTGTGCAAGTGTATAAACGAGTCTATACGAGACGAGGACAAATAAACAGACTACACATTAATTTAATTTTGTTTAAAAAACAAACGAGTGTGTTGGTCAAAATAAATTATTGACTTGGCAGAAATATATTTCGAATTATTTTGTTGGTTATATGTAAGTATACATTTACGAATTATTATTATACTCTATATTATACTATGTCTGTCCGTCTTATAAATATATTTATTAGTTGAGTAAATTGTTTTAAAAACACAATGATTTTTGTCATAAAAAAGTCTACACTCTTAATTATTTAGACTTTAATGATAGGTATTATGTAACAGTTTTAGGCTTTTTTTTTTATATGTAGATGCGTATTGGAATCTATAAATATAATAATAAACCTATATATATTATGTGATATTCGAATGGTTAAAAAAAGAAATAAATGATTTAAATAATCAAACACGGCGTTTGTTTAATAACATTTTTTATTCGGCCGGAACCGCGCACCGCTGTAGCACGCAGCATGCCAAAGACTTGCGGTCTACAAACACATAAATTTATACATACATAATACATATATATATATAATATATGAGGACATGAGGTTTTTTTTCGGTAACACCATATAGGACGCACTGTAATCCTAAACCTTCATCGCATAACAACCGTACCGGATTATTTTAACCAGCCGGAACAGTAATAGAAGTATACACTATTTAGGTGTCGCATTATCGTGCGTGTAACCCCAAAGCGGATACTCATCTCTTATTTTCCATACTTTTTGTTCTCCCGGTGACTATATTATACACGTATACAATATAATGTAATATACTAATACTATGCACTGCAACTGCAGCAGCAGGAGCAGCAGTTATGGTACGCATGGACTGTCGTCATCACCACCGCGCCATAACACACACAGACCCCAGTAATAATATATATTATTATGTTTAGGATTTTCGAACCAGTAGCATTAGCATAAAATTTATAACACCGCTCTCTGTTAGTATAGTATCGTAGTAGTTTTTTTCACCCGAGGATAAAAATGTACGTATTCTCGTCGACTCCCATTTTCGTTATTGTTGTGTGTGTTTGTTTGACGCCCACAAAAATTATACATGCCTAATAATAATAATAAAAAAAACTCAGTTCTTTTGTCACACGACGGGGGAGGTAAGACGTCGTCGTAGGTACCTACCGACTGAATCGATCCGGTCGCGACAGAAGAGGTTAGGTCATCGCGAGTTTGTAACTACCTATTATTACTATTATTATTTTATAAATATTTCATTCGTTATATTATAGGAAGCGGTATAGGTTATATATATATATATATATATATATAATAACAGCGGATTTTGCTGCTATAATATACAAAGGTATTATGTTATAGGTATACCTATACTACCTATATTTTATATTATTATATCCTTCCGTATATAATAGTTCTCACTCGTGTCAACCGGCTGGTGGATTGAAGCCTGACGTTGATTTATTAACTGGAGCTGCAATTAAGAGGGTTGGAGAAGTAGAGAGAAACTGTACAGTGCACACATACGCACACACACACACACACATACTGTCGTGCAATGTTGTGTGTTTGATCTGATAAATTATTGGCAATATAAACTCCGGTGAACGGGTTTTTTTTCTTTCCCTCTTTGTCCTCTTAACTCGCTATACGTTGTTGTTTTTTTCTTATTATTCTTTAGTGTTTTTTTCCTTCCTTCTTTCTTTCTCTCAAATACTTAGGTACAATAATTTGATTTATACCTTAAAGAATAAAATAAAAGTAAACATCTGGAAGAAAGTCTTCGACTTTATCGCGACGGATTCCACACTGCGGACGAGGCAGCTCCGTTGCGGTCATCATCGTGTCGTCCCTAGCAATATAATAGTATGTAGTGTGGTACTACGGATGGTTTTTTTAGGCGTTGTCGTTTTAGTAGCCGGTTTCGATTAATCTTCGACATCATCAATCAAAATCTATTGTTATTTACTTTTACACCTCATGCGAAGCTCCTTGTTCGACCGAATTCATTACCTGTATTTGTACGCGTCGGGCGACAGAGTAATCGACTTCCCTCCCCCATTGTCGGGTGTTATATGTATATATTTTTTTCATTAATCACGTCTCAGACAATACGAATTCCATTACTGCCCATACCGGCGGCACGCGGGAATAATACGGTTTCAATATAAATCGTTCGATGCCGTTCGTCGTCGTCGCAGTCGTCGTCCGTGTCCTATATGTATACTTTACGCCTATATAATATATATACCTAGGTATGCACTCGTATATTAGAGTATGTATATTATAAATACACAGTATGATAATAACAATAATATACTCATCCGACAACAAAGACCCCAAAGGCAGGTGCACCACTGGACTCGACTATATTGCGGTCGACCGAAACTATACATTTAGAATGTGTAGGTATATACCTACACATAAGGGTTACCAATACAATATATATAATAATATTATATAGGTATATACCTCGCTTCGACGCCGCCGCCGGACCCGTTTCACTGCATCTACGCGTTTGCTGCAGAAGTGTATATCCTTAGAGGAGGCATACATTTACATTAAAACGCACACACACCCGCATATACATGGTGTGTGCAGAGTTTTGTGTATATGTCGTTTCGGGAAAATAATATGTATAAATCCTTCCTTAAATATACGGTGTAGGCATGTTTGCATAGGCTTAATGGGTCGTCCCGCCCGAGAACGTATAGTGCATATATATATGTATGAAGTGAAACGGGAAACGGTCGTTTTTGTTTTGTTTCGTGCGGTGAATCGGAGCCGATGTATATGTTCCGCGGTCTCTGTCGCAGCGGACGGATACCACCGCCGCTCCCTCGGAAACGCTGCGCCGTTGATTGATTGTCTCCCGGAATACGCGCGCGCTTCTCCGCAAGGAGCACGCATATGTCTTTCGTATATTTCTGTAATCCATATGACTAACAAAATAAACAGAGTAAATTATACACACGGCGAACGCGGCTGCAGCCACCGTGACATGAATGCGGGCAGTTTCGCTAAAAAAAAAAAAAATAATAATATACACATATTCGAGAGGAGGGCTCTATCGTTAATGCGTTTCGACGTCGATATAATATTATATTATACACGTACCGTTTTCATTGTATCGAATTTCGTTGTTTTTCGTTTAATGCGTGGGACCGATTTCTATATACATATGTTATTATAGCTCGGAGAGTATAATGTTTATATATGTATATATAGTCTCCTCCTCTCCGTTATTTGTCGTACACATACATATTATATATAATATATATGCGAGTATGGGCATTGTATATAATATGATATGACATTATATATAATAATACGAAACCATATAATATTATATTATAGACGGTGTATTTACGCGAGTAATGGAATTCAGGACGAAATCGTCTAAACTAAGCAATATTGTATAGTAATAATATTATGTGGATCCCATGACTTGGCGCCGTGTTATATAGCGGGAGAGGGAGGTAGCAGCCTCGGGCGTCGAGTTTTTAGTGGCGCCAAACATTTTTAGATTAATGTTTTATTTTTGTACATTAGATATTTATTATGGGTACCTATCTATATTGAGTATTTGAGTATAACTTAAACGTTGATTTTTTCTTTTTTTACAGACCTGAAGAAGCCTTTCACGTCCGTACCGTATTCGGTGAGTGTGGAAACGGACCGAAACGTTGAGCTCCGATGCCTGCCACCGGACGGCGTCCCACCACCCCGAGTGTACTGGCTACGGAACAACGTGGCCATCGAGCCGGACAACAACATGATCGTGTCCAGCGAGGGAAACCTGTTGATCGGCCAGGCCAGACTGCAGGACACGGCCAACTACACATGCGTGGCCGAGAACGTGGCGGCCAAGAGGCTCAGTGATCCGGCTCTGCTCACAGTTTACGGTGAGTTTTCTTTTGCAAGTGTTATATGCTAATATATATGACATGCGTGTACGCCGCGTGGTTAGGCGTGGAAGTACAACAATTTCGTTCTCGTTAAAAGATTGTATTGAAACTTTGAAGTATATACACCTATCAATGTAGCACTAGGACCACACATATACGTACCCGGTATAAATAAGCGTCTATACTATATTAACGATTTATATCAATAGCTAGAAGGTAGGTAATAGTATACTTGCTTCTTTAAATAGTTTAAATGTCAGCCTTATTACAGGGTAGTAAAATTGAAACAGTATGCAATTGTTGTGAATCTTTAAGAGTTTAAAAATAAAACCTAAAATATTTTGAAAATTATATTATGTCTAAAAAATGCTAACAATTCTAGTATAAAAATTTAGTAAAATTATAAAGTCTCAACATTAATTTTTTCCTGACGATTCTTTACAAAAAAACCTAAACTGGTTTTGTTAAAAACTGGTGTTTGAGGAAATATAAACTACGCATTTTCCCGCTGTTATTTATTACTGGGAATTCCCTAATTTTCATCAAGTAGGTACCAACTAGATAAAATTTTCTCTTGGGAAAAAAAATTGCAAATGCATGAATTGCTGCACTGGCTACCGTTACCTTCTCACTGCTACTTTTCCGCTTTACTTCGTTGATATATTACTATATATAAGTGTGAATGTATGAGACCGTATACCTACCTATATATTCGCATTATGTGCCATTTGAGTCTCGTCGATTTTCCACTAGTCAAAAACGCATTTTCCGGGAGAGGGGCGCTCTGCTCGCGTGTGGTCGTCGATACCTATATATAGTTTATAGGTAGTAAAAACCTGCGATTTTTTCAGTTTTTATCGCGCTCGCGTTAACTTCTCCGGGTCTCCGACAACGCGACTGAAATCAACGTTCGTGTTCCAATCGTCAATATATAGTATACGTGCGTATATAAGAAATTCAACGCGTCTATACTACCGAGGAGCGGTTTATTGCCTGTTGCCCTTCTGTGCGAGCATTTGTGTGATGGATATTTATTTTTTATTATTATAATTTTTTTTCCCCGGCGCCGACCGCCGTTCTTTCGCGACCAGTGGCGGCGGCGCGGCGGCGGGTCGTAAAATAAAAGAGCGCACATTGACGTTATGTGCACGCATATTTCGTACGTGTATATAATATGATATATACATATTATTATATATAGTTTTAAAACGAATATATAGGTCGTGTATATGTAGATAATAATATATATGGTGTATATAAATATATAATATACTACACAGTATTATAATACAGTAGTGGTAGCCCTTCTTCGCGTTCTATGCAAACACGCTTCGCCAATATCGAGTGCCCGTCATAATAAATTTACATCCACCGTCACGACGACGACGGTGCTTGTGTGTATATGCGCGTTTAGAATTTATATTATATACTAGGATGAATCCGCCGCCGTATGTTATATAATATTATTATTATTATTATTATACGTGAGCCTGGCCGTATAGCTGCAGTAGACAGCGTATTTTTCGATCAGTCGTCGATCTTGTTTATCGACGGCGGCAGTAGCGAAAAAATAAAAACCTCGTCTGCGTTCCTCAGCACGAAATATAATATAATGTTTCGGATTGCGTTTCGGCGTTTATTATTCACAAGCTAGATAAAAGATTTTGTATGTATACACTTTAAAAACCACTCTCGAGGTCAACGACGTAGAAAACGGCGTTGAAAAACGAAAAGCCGTTGATATACTACCTCTATATAGTATATTAATAATATATACAATACAACACGCATATTATTATTTAATAATATATTATTCTAATAAACTATATATACGCGCAGGCGAGATGAGGGGTATCTTGATAATATTCCGCTCCGCCCGTTTACAATTATTAGCATCATAATGCGCGTGGCTAAGTAGGTATATATGTTTCCTTTCCGAAGATAATATTATTGTGAGCGTATTACACGCGGCTGTGGGTATATGGTTGAGGTTATTTCGTTTCTTTGATGAAACCAACTCGTGAATAATATCGCGTCGCGAAACTTGGAATTTGTCTTTTTACAATTTTTTACTTCGAATAGAGATTGAATTAATTAAATTGTTTATCATTATATGTTCCTGTAGAATGTTTCCCATCTCACGCGATATGTACATATATACTTATGAGTAATGTATATAATATGTACATATATTATATTCACATGCACTCATCATTAGATGATATTATAGCTGATATATTATACATTTTGTACGCGTGATTAAAAAACTTTGTTGTAAGTCAGAATGAATGGGCCAACTTCACAGGTTCAAAAGTTTATAGCCGCCATCTGAATGACTTGCAAGTACGTACTTGCTAATCACTAGCTTTCGTTTTAAACGGCCGATTTCGAAGTTCTGGGTCTAAATAGGTGGGCTATGCGTAAAGTTGGTTTAGTTTATATTTTTTTGATTTTACGGTGAAAGTTTGGACTTTCACGTTCTAAAAATAGACTTTCAAATAACTTTAATAATAAAGGCATGAATTAAAAAAAAATCTGGTGGACCAACTTCTCGAACGTTTGACATAGGTATACATAACATATAATATACCTACCACTATATAAATACAACACGTATATAACATTATTATTTAGTAATATATTATTCTATAGTATATAAACTCGCAGTCGAGATGAGCTGTATTTTAATAATATAGTCCGTTAACAATTATTAGCATCACAATGCCTGTACCATATATGTTACCTTTCCGAAAATATTATTTTGAGCGCATTACACACTGCTGTGGGTATATGGGTTAGTTTATATCCTTTTTTTGATGGACCAGTAAACCAAACTCGTGAATAATATATTGCGTCTTGACACTATTGCAATCATTTTTTACAATTTATTATTCCGAATCGAGATTGAATTAATTGAATTATTTTTATTATGTCCCTGGAAACGCATTGCACACGATACGTTTATACGTATATACTATGTGTATTATAATTACACACAGGCACACTTGCATCTATGTATTATAGATATATTATATTATGTTTTGTACAAGTGATTAGAAAACGGTGTTATTTACTGCACTTTATATTATTATAGTCATCACAAAAACATTAAGCAAATAAACATAAAAATCAAATGAAAAGTATAATATTTTTATGTATGGTAGGCCCCTTTATATTATATGTGTTCTTCGAAAAGGTATAAATAAAATAATATTTTTTTGTTTCCTATATAACGGTTTTACGATGATGGGTTTTTAACTATTAATTCGAAATGCAATAATACGACTCTCGAAGGTTTGCACCTGTCGACGCTTTCGTTCGTTTTCTTTTTTTATGCCCGATTTTTAATCTTTTTCTTTCTCTCTTTTAATCAACTGTGCCTATAGATTTTCAACATATACATTTAATGGTGACCATAAATTGACTAATGAAAACAAATAATTTTACTTGAACGTTATTTCTATGTAACATTAGGTATATTTTAAAGATAAATACTCGTGAAAAATTAAATGAATATTATTTTCTTTCGTTAAATCATTTGTTCGTTTATAGTCTCATTAGCGATCGCTGGTCTAGTTAGGCACTCCTTTAAAATAATGGCCTATAAAAAAATTGCGTAACGTTCTCAATGGATTTTATTCGAAAAACAACATTAAGTGTGTATAGAAAATTATTCTAAACCTACATATTATACAACACGAAGTTTTACCTCGGTCCCGCCCACGCGCATCCACGCACGTGATATATATTATATACTTATAAATAAAACGTTTCGCCAAGGATATATACCAACGACGATTTGTATTCAAACGTTTTACCCGGTCGTATTTCACGGTTCCCCCTTAAAACAACCAGCTACCTACTACCGCCACCAACGACAACTATACCGCACCTACACTCTTCCGGCCACTGTTTTGGAGTAAATCTTGGTGGGAGGGGGTAAAGTCGTTTTCGCGGAAAAACGACTCTATTACCGCGACTGGTTACCGCGAGTTTGGCGGCCGGGATATATACGGGTGTATATATATATATACCGTGGCGGTGAGGATTTCATTAACTCGGCACTGTACATAAATATTCATCAGAAATTAATGAAATAGAATGATAAAAACAAATGGAAATCGTCGGTGGAGCGCAGTTACGATATATATATATAAAGTCATATTCCACCCGTTTTTCTTTTATTTTTCGCCCAACACCTCGCGATCTCTCGACGCCGACAACGCCCCCGCCGCCGCGGGGATCACTGGTAATGAAACACCCGCTGTAGTGGTGCAGCACACTACGATACTACGATAGCGTCGCATATATATATATTTTAACCTTCCCCCCCTTGTAAATCTCGGTAGGTACCTACTTCATGTGCTCGTATAATATAGAAGAGAGAGCTGAGCTTATGAATATTCCTTTACAGCGGCTATTTGTCATCGGCATAATATATACTATATATTGGACGTCGTTCGTCGGTAGGTATACTCATCAAGTCCGACTTAAGGGATTTATATCCCCTCCGTAGTAAATATATATTATATTATATGATATCGAGTACATGCATTATTATTATACATATAAACCGAACGCGTAAGCATTTCGTCAAACACGAGCTCATTGTTCTATATATACATATTATAGACCTAAAGTATATTCGATAGTTCCGTGGGCTATATTATATACATAGATTATGGGTACTTCGTCTCAGATATTATTCGACTGTGCGCGCATCAGTTTGAATATGAACGTTAACCCTTTCCGCACTCAGCTATCGAGCTGCAGTATTACAGGGGCGCCGCTCTGACAAAAGCCGAGTTTTTCAATCAAACCGAGACGACTAAGCCATGTACAAGAAGTGTGTATATATATATTATATACGGCGATAGTGGTGCCCGCCTAAATGTTTTTTTCTTTCTCTCTCTCCCGGCCCGTGAAAGTGATTGATAGAGTATTTTACATAACGTAATAGATAGTGCCTGCGCTCGTATACGCGTACGGGAAACGGC